AAAAAAAAAAAAAAAAAAAAACCTTTAAAAGTTCTAGAACAGGAAATTGTAATCTATGAGCCCCTAAAATGAAAAATCCCCTAAGTGGCTGCCCCTGAGGATGAAGGCCTGAGGAAGCTTTTCCAAGATGGTCTATTTCAAGATAAGGGTACTAGTTACAAAGATGTGTGCACTTGTCAAAACTCAGCAAATGAACATTTAAAAATTGAGTGTGTCATTAAATAAAAAACCAAAAACTATAAAACACTGAATTCTGATTAATATGCATACTTTAGTATTTGGGGATAAGTATACAGATAGATGTGCACTATTTTGAGATGCACCAAAACAAATTGGTGGATAGACAGAAGGATGAATAGATGAATAGGTACATGACAAAACAAGTACTGTTAATGTTATAAATAGAACCCAAGTGGCAGCTTAAGAATGTTCACTATAAAATTCTTTGTTGTGTTGAATACTTGAAAATATCCAACATAAAAACAATGAAAAAAAAGTGCAGAGAGAAGTCTAGAAAGATGTCAAAAGCAATGGTAGAGGCTTTTTGATTCTTTTTAAAATTTGTTTGGAAAAATAATTCACATAACTATAGAATTCACCCAGAGCACCAGGGTGGCTCGGTCGGTTAAGCATTCATCTCTTGATTTCTGCTCAGATCATGATCGGTTAAGCATTCATCTCTTGATTTCTGCTCAGATCATGATCTCAGGGGCATACTGAGCCCCACATCAGGCTCCGTGCTGGCATGGAGCCTGCTTACGACTCTCTCCTCCTCTGCCTTTCTCCCCGCTCATGCAACACTCTCATTCTAAAAAAAATTAAATTCTGAAAGAATAAAATCAAAGCACAAGAACAGAACAAGTATTGAACGATGTAATTCAAGGAAAAAACCCTCATATTTAAATAGCTATGAAATATATACCGAAAATGCACACTGCATACCTGGGAAAAACAGATCAAAAACCACCAGGAACAAAACCAAATTATTTGTAAATTATCAATTAAAAGGGGGGGGGGGGGCATCTAACAAAAAGAACAAGTAACTGAAAAGTACACTGTCATAATCCCACAGCGATGCTATATGCCAAAGGAGAGTATTATTCCATTTAAGATAATCAAGGAAAGAACAGAAGCTAAGGTTATGTTCTATCCAACCAAACGGTGGACATGGAAAACTGTCATCAACAGTCAAGAACTTATCAGAGTTCACATGTGCTATTTTTTAGAAACCCATCAGGGAAATATCCTTCCAACAACTCAAATGATGGAGAGACATTAACATAAAGTAGTAGTAACAAGCGTCAGCAAGAAGGTGGTGAAATTGAAACCCTTGTACACTGCTGGCGAGAATGTAAAATGGTCCAACTGCTGAGGAAAATAATTTGGCAATTCCTCAAAAAACTGAACATAGAATTACCATATGACTCAGCAATTCCACTCCTACATTTATTCCCAAAAGAACAGAAAACAAGATAGTCAAACAAACACGTATTCATGAATAGTCACAGAAGCACCATTCACAATAACTAAAAGGTAGAAACAACCCAAAGGTCCATTAGGTGATGAAAGGATAAAAAAGTGATGTTATCTATACAAACAAAATACTATTTGCCATAAAAAGCATAGAAGAACAATACATGTTACAACATGAATGATGAACACAGATAACACGGTATTAAAGTCAGACACAAAAATGGCAAAACACATAGTGCACACTTCTATTTACATGAAACACCCAGAATAGGTAAACCCATAGAGATTTAAAAAAAAAAGTAGTGTTTGCCACACAAGAGAGGCAAGGGAAGATGGGAAGTAACTGCTTAATGGCTATGAGGTTTTATTTTGGGGCAATGAGAACATTCTGTCACTAGACACAGGTGGTCACCGCACAACAATGTGAATGTACTAAATGGCACAGAGTTGTTCATTTTAAAGCGTTACGTGGATTTTACCCCATCAGAAGTTAATCAGAAGAAATGCTAGATGGCGGAAATTATCTGGTTTCATTAATTTAAAAAAAAAAGACTGCTGGTGAGCACTACAGACTAAATGAAGACAATAAACTAGAGAATATGACAGCTTTGCACTCGATGTCCATAAAATACAACTGTTGAAAAAAAAAAAGCACACAGGTTAATTAACTGTTTTTAGTTTTTAGAAAGTATAAACCACTTACAAATGTCTACTTGGCTCTAATTACCACAAAAGATTCTACTAACAATTTCTGAAAGATACCCTGGTACTCCTTTGCCCCCCAGACCACCCAACACATACACACACGATGCTGCTTAATAAAAATGAAAACCATCACTTTCAAGTAGAGAGGAAAGGTGATTACAAATGTGGTTACTAGGCACAGTAAATCTAATTCAAATTCTATCTCAATTTTTTGAGGATAATTCAGGCCACACTTTCCCCAAACAAGCCATCAACCATGCCTGACTTCTATCAGTAGAGTTCACGTCCTAAAGAACTTACCACTCATCATCCAAGCAACCCAACTAGACAACGGTAACATTCTGGGTATTTCTGAGGATAGCCATGAAACATCAGTAACACAGAATTCTTGCAGCACTGTATAAAAAGAGCTGCTGCCCACAAGTGACCCTCAACTACCCAAGAACACCAATTTCTGAATCAATGACTACATCAAATTCAGAATTATTCAGCATAAAAGCACCTTGCCCTGATTTTTTGAAAACTGGCAACTCACATATAATACATGCAGCAGCACCTGTCAAGAGCTACCAACTGACTGAAATAATGAGGTAAAAGAGATTAGTCTAAATTATTAGAATAATCAAATCCAAACTTCAGAAAACACAGGATGCTGAATGGTCTCTACTTTTTACCTACAGAAGTTAGCTTACAACAATCACGGTAATTTCAACAATTAGCTAAATAAATGCTAATATAAGTGGAGAAAAAAATCACAGTTGAGTTTAACATTAAAATAGTTATCTGATTACCTATTCATAGTCCCAGATACATCAACATCATTCATAAAACATTCGATGCTCAAAGGGAGGTCTGAAGCATTTGCACTCATCAATTTCTTCAGTTTCTCACACTCCTGAGACAGTCGTAATAATGCACGAATTTTGGATTTTATGTCTAGCTTGTATTTCTTCCCAAATTCTTCACAGAAGTGATTTACTAACACCTCATCAAATTTTCTGCCTCCCAGTGTTGTGTCAAATGCAGTGGCCAGAACCTTAGGAAAAAAAAGATAATTCAAAAATTAACCAATCAATTGAAATTTTTATCATGATATATATTTAACTGGCAAATTAACAAGGGGACACATTAAGTTTGAAACAAAGTAATGTGCACATGTCATTTAATCACGGTTACAAACATTGTGAAAAAAGACACTGTAATCCCCAATTTACAGATGATGCTACAGGCCCAGGTGAATCGGATCATCTGCAGGTCACAAAGCTAGTAAGTGGCAGAAGTACAACCCAAAACCCAATCCCCTCAATTCCCTCAATTCCAAAATTCAAGCTCTTTCCACTAGGCCAATCTGACTGCAAACTAAAATTACATATCCAAAGCCAAATGCAGTAACATGTCACTGCAATTCTGGTCTTCTTGCCATCACAGAACTATGATTAATATCAAAGGCCTAGCTCTATGCAGTTTACTATCAAAAAACATGCTAAAGGCTTAATTCACAGCAACTTGTAGAAATTTCATTAGCTTTGGTTATCCATTATCCAAATCTTTAGCAGATTAGAAGCAAACTAAATCTAGTTAGATTCACTAATAGAAAACAGACCAAATAAGAGATGACAGCCTTGATGAAAAAATAAAATCAATAAAAACAATCTTATTCAATGATAAATGTTGTGGAGAAATGTTGTGAAGAAAAAGAAAAACAGGGCACAGAACTGAATATAGTCTAATTACAATTTTGTTTTCTTCTAAAAACTAAAATGAAATACAGCAACCTGTTCAGAGTAGTACAATTGTGAATGTTTTTCTTTTCATGTAAATGTTTTCCAAGTTTGGGGATGTTTTCATGATGAGTAAATTTTAATTGTAACTCCAAAACTGACAAATAGCAACAAAGGATAATTAGGGAGGGGGGAAAAGGGCAGGTAATCAATCACTAATACACATCACTATGACCCAAAGCCAAAGCTAAATTATGGCCAGTAGCTTCTGTTCAAAAAGGTGAAAGTATACAATGTATTTTAGAAAGCCATTTATTAGTGAGTAAAAGTTTAAATACTAATAATTATACTTGGTTCATTATTTATATCTGTAAAAATCATGAACCTGTTATTTCCCAACCACCCCAAAGATTTTCCTTTTTATTTAACAAAAAAAAGAAAAAGGCCTAAAAACAATATAAATCAGAATGTTAAGTGAAACCAAGTCTAGTTTTCAAAATAACAGGACTGTAACAGAGTCTCAACACGCCCCAAATTTAACATTTATTTTCAGTCAGTCCCTCCCCAACAATCCCCAAATTTGGGGGAGAAATGCAATTTAGGCCTTGACACAAACAACCCTGATACACAACCCTAATAATTAAATAATGCACTCAAAAACTCCTTGGTTCTTAAGCAAATTCTAGATAAAATCACCTGCAGAACTGATTTTATATCCCACTGTGGAAGCAGCATATACCAGCAAATTCAAATGTTGACTAGATACTCTCTGGCCCTCTTTGTCTTTGATACTGCTAGACTTCTCGGTGTACAAAACTCTCTCGAGAGCTCTAAGGTTTCCAGAAATCTGGACTATCTCTCTCAGTCTGGTTTCTTTTTGGCCATCCAAGTTCCAGTCCCTATACTCTTTTCCCAGAACATTCAAAACCTTCAGAGCAAGAAGAGGATACCTTTGTCATCTCTTCAATCCTCAGTGTAAAATACACAAAGGGACTCAATGTTAAAGAATCCTAGTAAGCCTCTAAGGTAAGTATTATTTTCCACACACTGTAGATAAGTAAGGATCAGAAATCTTAAGAGCTTCTTCCTCAAGGTCTACACTCTCTGCTTCACACTACGCCAACTCCTGAAAAATTACAACTCCTACACTATCCCTACATACCTAGTTTCTAGTTTAAATCATTCATACTAAGCTTCCATTGATGAAACAAAACGCTTTAATATATTTTTTCAATTGTCTCCCATAAATTCCTAATTACCACACACTTGAAATCACATTTTCCAAAAACAATATACTTACTTTAAGTTTCCCTCTATTAAATGCACATACAGAAACTTGATAAGAAGAATGCCCCATGTCTACGAAAACTACATTTCTTGGTTTCTCTTCTAGGGCAGGAAGATCTTGCTTATAGATTCCATATGCAAGAGCAACTACATAAGAAAAAAATTCAATGTATCATTTAAGTAGTACATTTAAAATTCAATTAAGTAAAAAAAAAAAAATTATATAGTAAATAGGACTACACATACTATTTCAGAAAGAATCAAATTCTTCATGTACTTTGTATAATTTATTCATGAGGAACATTAACTTCAAAGAATAAAATGCTGACATTCCCTTAGACCTCCTTAATGTTTCCAATTTCCAATTCCAATGACTTTGCCAATTTTTCCCAAACCACTTCCCCCAGTTTTCCAAACATATTTTCTGGGATTTCTTCTACCTTTGTGCCATCTCAACATTTCCACGTTATCTCCTTCTGGATGCTGCTTTACACCTCATAATAGAAGTGGAGAAAAGGTCGATTTTGAATCTAGGCACTGCTCTGAACACACAGTATCTGCTAGCCTTCCAAACAAATGTGATTAAATATCAAAGTAAGTGCTAGGCAGATAAAGAAAAAGCACCGGTCAGATGAATTCTTCACACGTGACACAGTAACCAAAAATACTATGGCACACAGGTAGTAAGTACTCCAAGCAAAATGAAGAACAAGAAACCCCAGGGTTTTAAGATTGCAGAACCATCCAGATTCAGCAAGTCAAGAATGTTAACAGTCCCTGTTACCTGCAGTAGTTTCATTCATTAATCGTAAGCAATTAAGACCAGCAATTTGTGTTGCATCCATCACTGATCGTCTTTCTGCATCAGTATAGAAACAAGGAACCTACAAAAAAAATGTGCCAGTTTACTATATGAGAGAGTCCTCATTTAAAATACACCTGCCAGGGGCGCCTGGGTGGCGCAGTCGGTTAAGCGTCCGACTTCAGCCAGGTCACGATCTCGCACTCCGTGAGTTCGAGCCCCGCGTCGGGCTCTGGGCTGATGGCTCAGAGCCTGGAGCCTGTTTCAGATTCTGTGTCTCCCTCTCTCTCTGCCCCTCCCCCGTTCATGCTCTGTCTCTCTCTGTCCCAAAAATAAATAAACATTGAAAAAAAATAAAAAAATAAAATAAAATAAAACAAAATACACCTGCCAAAAAAACAGTACAATCCTGGGGTGTCTGGGTGGCTGAGTCGGTTAAGCTTCCAGACTCTTGATTTCAGCTCAGGTCATCATCTCACAGTACCTGGGCTCAAGTCCTACACTGGGCAGAGCCTGCTTGGGATTCTCTCTCTTTCCCTCCTTCTGCCCCTCCTCAGCTCACCTGTTGTTCTCTCTCAAAAGAAATAAATAAAAAACAAATAGACAAACAGTAAAATCCAGAAATGCCCTCAAATACGTACAGCGATTTTTTCTGTATATGATCAAGGAAGTATTTCAAACCAGTAAAGTTCGAATATTCAGTAAGTACTGTTAGAACAAATGGATAGTCATACAGAAAGAAAAAAAATCAAGTTGCATCCTTACTGCACACCTAATATTTCAAAGATTTAACAGTTAAAAAAAGTACTAGAAGGAAAGGGAATTTTTACCATTAGAGTAAGAAATTCTCTAACTAAAACACAAAATACAGTAGGAAAAAAAGAGAAAGAAAATATTATGTTTGAATAGCAATGCAGGAGGACAGATGGTAGCTATACTTGTGAACATAACATGATGTATAAACTTATCAAATCACTAAGTTTTACACCTGAAACTAATGTAACACAGCATGCCAACTAAAAGTAAAAAAAAAAATGTTTTAAAGATTAACATATTTGACTCATAAAAATTCTAATGACCAAATGGGGAAAAATATTTGCAACTCTTATTATAAAAGGGTAGAGCTCATCTATTATATGAAGAACTACAAATCAATATGTAGACCATAAACTTAAAATGAGCAAAGGATAAGAATGTTTTACAGAAAAGGAAATACAAAACGGTCTTAAATTGAAAAATGTTCTCAACTTCACCTAAAGAGTAAAACATTAAAATTACATACATTATTCAACTATTATGGCATTAGCTGATTCACCAATAACTCTTCTGGTGAAGCTGTGGTCAAACAAGCTCTATCACACACTATTGGTAGAAGTTTAAATTAGTAAAATTCTTTAAAGGGCAATGAAACAACAGCTGTTGAAATTACAAATACAGAGAAACTCTCTGTCGTAACAATTTTACTTCTAGGAATTTAGCCCTAGAAACAAACATCACACATGAAAAATATCTATCTGTTCAAATTTACTCACTACAATGTAACTTTTTTTAAAATTCTTTACAATTAAAAAAAAAGCTGGATGTGCCTGGGTGGCTCAGTCAGGCATCTGACTCTTGCTCTCGGCTGAGGTCATGATCTCACACTCTGTGAGTTCAAGCCCCACATCAGGCTCTGTGCGGATACCTCAGAGCCTGGAGCCTGCTTCAGATTGTGTGTCTCCCTTTCTCTCTGTTCCTCTCTGCTCACGCTCTGTCTCTCTCTGTCTCTCTCTCAAAAACAAACAAACATCAAAAAAAAATTTTTAAAGGGGGTGGGGGGGGAGAAAAATTAAAGTAAAAAAAGATATATACAAGGGCACCTGGGTGGCTCAGTCAGTTGGGTCTGATTCTTGATGTCAACTCATGTCAGGATCCCAGGGCTGTGGGACTGACCCCCGTTTCGGGTTCCACGCTGAACATGGAGCTTGCTTGGGATTCTCTCTCTCTCTCCCTCTGCCCCTCTCCCCAACTTGCGCTCTCTCAAAATAAACATTTTAAGAAAAAGGATTATTTACTTGGGTACACAAAAACCTCTGGAAAGATCTGTAACCAAGTAATAAAACTCGTAACATCTAGGAAGAAAAAACTTCCTACTAGGTAAGCAGAGGGTGCAGAAGGGCCAATTTGATTTCTGAACAATGGGGCTACTATTACCTTTCCAAAAAATTAAAGTTTATGTTTTAACAATAATCAATTGATAAATAAAGCAAAATACACCCAGGCTCTATTTATATAGCTATTAGATATAACATGATACCAAGAGCTGGGGCAGTACCTGTGCAGAAGGGTTCACAGAGGGGCCAAAGACTGCTGTCTTTGAAAGGCCTCAGAAAGGCCTGATGAAAAGGTTAGCCCTGTCCTGGCACAGAGTAACTTCACTGAGAAACAGGTCACTAAATTCAAAGAAAAATCTCCCTAAATAACAAGAGTGGCTCACTACACCTAAAATGCTTATACAACATTATTTATGCTAAATAGCTACCTTCCTTCTGGGAGTCTAGACCTTTGGTACAGGATAGGCACAAGGTACTACCTACATAACTGACCTCCAGTTAGAAATCCGCAACTCCTAAGCTCAGGCAGAACTTCCCTAGTGTTGAGTATGTCACGTGTTAACACAACACGTTGCTGGAAGAATCAAGCACATCAAGAACCTTGCAAGTGGACTCTTGGAAGTCTGTACCTGGTTTCCTCCAAACAATGCCCATGTACTTTTCCCTCTGTTGATTGTGCTTTGTTATCTTTTCACTGTAATAAATCTATGCTTGAGTATGGCTACGTTGTAAGTTCTACAAATTCTCCTGGCAAGTCACTGAAACTCAGTGTAGTCTAGAGGACCCCTAACACATGACTTAATACATCACCTCTTAACTTGATCTCAAAAGCTGGAAAAGCCACTCAGGCATTCTGCCACTGTACATAAATTTCACTTCTACACTGACCATATTTCAAGACCAAAGTTAGGGCACTAGGTGGGGGAACAGGGACAAATGTGAAAATACAACAGTTAGTGAAAGGCAGAAAGCATCTAGGAAGCACAAACACAGTGCCTGGACTGAATGTGAGCTCTTATGAGAAGAAGCACTTTTATTCTTTGCATCTCCAAAATATGGCACACAACAATAATCTATTTCTTCCTGACGAATGTCAGTTCTACTTTACTAGATAGCTAAGAACCAAGGAATCTACCAGACAACAGACTGCAGGACAAAACAGTCACCCAAGAGAGTCCTTGCTTTGCGGACCAATACACCAACATGAAGACAAAAGAGGCTACAGAGCTAAGATACCAAGATAACAAATGCAGAGTAAGGAGATTCAGTTGCAAAGCTAAGACATCCACCCAAATCCAACAGTTCCTAAGGACTCCACTGTCCTACAAGCACAAAGCTACACAGAGCCAGGTTGCCATCCTAAGAGGGATATGGAAAAGACAAGATCAAAATAGCAAAAATACCGAAATGGAAATGAAGAAAATGACAACATAACTGAGAGTATTCAACTAATTCAACAAATGAGTAGCTATTGTGTGCCAGGCACTATGCTGTGTGCTAAAAGGAATCCAGGAGGAAGTGGGCTTTAAGATAAGCCTTCAAATAAGAATAATAGAAAAAAAAAAAAAA